GTTGTAACAAAAACTGTAGGCAGAGGACCGACGGTGCCTCGAATCATTCGCGATTTAGTTCCACGGTGTCATCGACCAAGCAAGGCCAACGCTCTCAAGTGTCGGGCAGGAGGTCGACTTCGTATTTCACGGAGCAAAATCGTTCGCATTTTACAGCGCTTTAACCACACGCCACACACTCTGGGCATACGTTCCGCAACAGGGTAAAAGTTACGGGCATCAAAAACTATGATAACAAAACACTTTTTTTGTTCATTGATGTTGGTGTGTGTGTGTGTGTGTGTGTGTGTGTGTGTGTGTGTGTGTGTTGTTTGCTTCTTTTTTCTGGAAAGAAGTCGAAGGAGACAGACAGACAGACAGACGATAGGTTACACTTTTTTTTAAACTCATCACCAGCAAAAACGCTTTAAGGATATATAGTACATGTGTAATAAATAAGGAAGTTTGCGACGTACTCTCGGAATGCACTGGCCCTGTACCACACCACTATCGTCGGCTGCGCGTCATCATAGCCGTTCTTATCTGTGTCCTGGTGCTACGTATTAGATAATCTACTGGTGTCGTCGGCGCCCTCGGGAGAGAAACCACTTGGAAACGTGAACGAGCAACTTCACATCAGCACTAACACTTTAAACATACAGAACGGTTTTTAGTTAGTTTTAGTAGACGTTTTACGGCGCTCGCAACTGCATAAGGCCGTATGAGCGCCAGAAGATTAGAGGTGTTACAACAGAGTAACAAACACAAAAAGAAGAAGGGAGAATAAGAAAACTAGATGTTTGATAGTATTGATAGGAAAGAAGAAGCAAACCACACCAGAGCACCCGCCAACCACCCACCCACATACAGAACGGTAGGACAAGACGTTTTATGATGATGATGATGATGATGATGATGATGATGATGATGATGATGATGATGATGACGACGACGACGTTAAAAAAAAAGCAGGACCTACCAGTGGCGCCCACCAGCCACCCAAAGACAGGGAAAGAGTGGGAGGGAAGGGAATATAGAACAAGAGGTCTGAATGCCGTTTTGTTTGAATAATGAGGAGCACATCGACACAAGAAGGGTGAAGGAGGGATGAAAAAAGTAAGACAGACAGGCAGAACCAACAGAGAGAAAGTAAAGAAATTAGAAATAGGTCCTACTAGTGGTGCTCTCCAGCTACCCGCAGGCACACACCAAGACGACCCCCCCCCAAAAAAAAAACCCACTATCACCACCAAATACAGACTATAAACACACAAATACGAATACATACCATACATAAATTGGTCGCTTTTTAAGGACAAGCGGACTAACCCAAATTTCGGGGGGTTTCCATAAATCTCGACCTACACCAAAAGTGGACATCGCCCCACCTATAGGAGAAGTTCGGTTTTATTTATGTGTACATTTGTTTGCTTATAGAGAAAACTCTCCTTGTTTTTTAAAGAAACAAAACAAGGGGCAAAAACTTTACCTTCGATTTTCTCAAAACAATTTTTCGGGATAGCCCTCTTGTGCTTAAAAGCGACCAATTCACGCCCACATAAAAACGTCGTGCTGTATTCTGCAGACTAGAGAGCACAAAAACGGTCACATTTCTCTATGAGCAGATTAGGAGGATAAATCTGAGAACCCATCCCTCCTTCCCCTAATACACAAATATCCAATCATCACACCAAACGAAGCGAGACGCAAAGCACTGTATGTACAACCAACTGAAACTACTGTAAGATCTAGACTTCTAGTCAAAGTGACAGAAAACGGACAGCTGAGCCAGTCAGAAATTGCAGTCAAACCCCAGCCGCAAGCGCAAGAGGGGGG